AAGAAACGGAGGCTAAAATTGATGTTTCCTCTTCCGTACCACACATGACGGGGACAAGCGCTCGCTGACGCCGACAACGAGGCATCAGGATTTAAATCCCCAGTCTTTCGATTCAAGTCTTGTTGAGGGCGACGTGCTCCGTACTAGTAACTAACAAATTATTAGCTTCTACTTAATTATATATCCCTCTACAAACCCCCCTCTTCCCCTACTCCCCATCCCTTTTACCTTGCAGTATCTTACACCTCCAATTTTAATTAATCAACAATCTCATTTTCCCCCTCTCCGAACGACCTTGGGGTTGGATCAACATTGTACATTCCATACCATCCCTTTCTAGGTCCTCCGCGCGTGGAAGCATAGCTCGCGACAAGATTTGCGCCCAGCTTGCGAAACACCTTCGCCTACCTTGAGAATATCACCCTTCCTTCGATTCTTCTTAACATACAGGGTGGTCAATTTGAAAGTCTTCCCAGCGTCTCTCACCTACCTACTACCGAAAGCCACGTTCCTCATGGAGTAGTGCGCTTCGTCCTCTCGTTTCTCTCTTTTCGACAACACGTCTTCCGACCTCACAATCACAACTGTGAGACTTGACATTTCTACGTGCCATCAGGAGCAAAAATGGCTCTTCCAGAAAATGAGCGCCTTCCTGGGGACAAGGCCGAGAACGCTGATATCGAGTTGATGGAACGGGGAAGCGCATCCTCAGCCGAACATCGCAAGTCAGCTGGTCGTTCTTCCATCTCTAGTTCGACGGTGGTCCCGGCAGGAGAGAAGGACAAGGGTTCTCGTTCTAATGCTCTAGCCGAATCCGAAGATCCAGATGCGCTTTTCGCCCACCTCCCAGAGCATGAAAAGGAGATTCTGAAGAAGCAGCTGGATTCGCCGGATGTGAATGTGTCGTTTTTCGCTCTGTTTCGCTATGCCTCGCGCATGGACATCTTGATCATGCTTGTCAGTGCGCTTTGCGCTATCGTGGCAGGTGCTGCTCTGCCTCTATTTACCGTAAGTGGTTTGGCCGGGTGTCACTGGTTGGCTCTACAACTAACCTGGGCTTTCTTAGATTCTCTTCGGCTCACTGGCTTCGGCATTCAGAGGAATCGCTCTGTACGAACTCTCGTACCACGACTTCTATCACCAGTTAACGAAGAATGTTCTTTACTTTGTGTATCTTGGAATTGCCGAGTTTGTTACCGTCTATATCTCCACCGTCGGGTTCATCTACACCGGGGAACACATTACTCAGAAAATCCGCGAACATTATCTGGAGTCTATCTTGAGACAAAACATGGGCTACTTCGATAGACTAGGAGCCGGTGAAGTTACAACTCGCATCACAGCCGACACGAATTTGATTCAAGATGGTATCTCGGAGAAGGTTGGACTCACACTGACAGCCATTGCCACCTTCGTGACTGCGTTTATTGTCGCCTATATCAAATATTGGAAACTCGCTCTGATCTGTACCTCAACAATTGTTGCGCTTGTGATGACTATGGGAGGTGGCTCTCGCTTTATTGTCAAGTACAGCAAAAAGTCCTTGGAGAGCGCTGGTGCCGGCGGAACTGTTGCGGAAGAGGTCATCAGCTCAATCCGTAACGCAACCGCATTCGGTACTCAAGACAAATTGGCCAAGCAATACGAGGCTCATTTGGCCGAGGCCGAGAAATGGGGTATCAAGACCCAGGTTATTCTCGGCTTCATGATTGGTGGCATGTTCGGTATCATGTTTTCCAACTACGGCCTTGGTTTCTGGATGGGCTCTCGTTTCCTCACGGATGGAGAGGTCAATGTGGGACAAGTATTGACGGTTCTTATGGCTATCTTGATCGGGTCATTCAGTCTAGGAAATGTCGCCCCCAATGGTCAAGCCTTCACGAATGCTCTCGCCGCAGCCGTCAAGATCTATGGGACTATCGATCGTCCCTCTCCTCTGGATCCCTACTCCGAGGAGGGCGAGAAGCTCGAACACTTCGAAGGCAATATCGAATTTCGCGACATCAAGCACATTTACCCCTCGCGTCCGGAAGTTACTGTCATGGATGGTGTCTCCCTGATCATGCCTGCCGGCAAGACGACTGCGCTTGTTGGCCCATCGGGCTCGGGAAAGAGTACTGTTGTTGGTCTGGTCGAGCGATTTTATTTCCCTGTGGGAGGTTCCGTTCTTCTGGATGGCCATGACATTTCGACTCTCAACCTTCGTTGGCTGCGTCAACAAATATCGCTGGTTAGCCAGGAACCTGTTCTCTTCGGTACGACAATTTATCACAACATTCGACACGGCCTTATCGGCACGAAGTATGAAAACGAATCCGAGGACAAAATAAGGGAATTGATTGAAAACGCAGCGAAGATGTCCAACGCTCACGACTTCATCACAGCCCTTCCTGAAGGCTACGAGACGAATGTGGGTCAACGCGGTTTCCTACTGTCCGGAGGACAGAAGCAACGCATTGCAATCGCGCGCGCTATAGTCAGTGACCCGAAGATTCTTCTGCTCGATGAAGCCACATCTGCTCTGGATACGAAATCTGAAGGTGTTGTTCAGGCAGCCTTGGATAGAGCTGCCGAAGGCCGCACTACTATTGTCATTGCTCACCGTCTTTCTACCATCAAGTCAGCCCACAATATCGTCGTTATGGTGAACGGTAAGATTGTGGAACAAGGAAATCATGACGAACTCGTTGGTCGCAAGGGCACCTACCACAGCCTCGTGGAAGCACAGCGCATTAACGAGGAGAAGGACGCGGAAGCCTTGGCTACTGACGAAGCAGATATGGACGAGGATGACTTCGCGAGGGAGGAGATCGAACGCATCAAGTCAGCAAGCAGTGGCACCGGTTCTCTAGCTGATGACGACGAGAAGATGTTCGCCGGTAATGGCCTTGGACGCAGTGGAACACACAAGTCAATTTCCAGCGCCATCCTGGCCAAGAGAGAGCCGGAGATCGCTAAGAAATACTCACTTTGGTCTTTGGTCAAATTCATTGCTTCCTTCAACCGCCCTGAGATTCTCTATATGCTCATCGGATTGGTCTTTGCGGTACTTTCCGGTGGTGGCCAACCCACCCAGGCCGTTCTGTACGCCAAGGCCATCAGCACTCTTTCGCTGCCTACAAGCGAGGCCGCTAAAATTCGTCATGATGGTGCTTTTTGGGCCTTGATGTTCTTTGTGGTTGGAATCGCGCAGTTCATCAACCTTTCCATCAATGGTGCCGCTTTCGCCGTGTGCTCGGAGAGATTGATTCGGCGAGCTCGAAGCATGGCCTTTAGATCCATGCTGCGTCAGGATATTACTTTCTTTGATAGGGAGGAAAACAGCACTGGTGCACTCACATCCTTTTTGTCGACTGAGACCAAACATCTGTCGGGTGTCAGTGGTGCCACATTGGGTACAATCCTTATGACCAGCACGACCCTAGGTGCGGCTATGATTATCTCTCTCAGCATCGGGTGGAAGCTGGCTCTGGTCTGTATTTCCGTCGTTCCGGTTCTACTGGGATGTGGATTTTACCGCTTCTACATGCTCGCGCAGTTCCAACAAAGATCTAAGAGCGCCTATGAAGGCTCTGCAAGCTATGCCTGTGAGGCGACCTCGGCTATTCGCACCGTGGCCTCTCTCACCCGGGAAAAGGATGTTTGGGATATCTACCACGGCCAGTTAGCGGCGCAGGGCCGTACAAGTCTGATCTCGGTGCTGAAATCCTCTATTCTATATGCCGCCTCGCAGGCTCTGGTTTTTTTCTGTGTTGCCCTCGGTTTCTGGTATGGAGGTACGCTCCTGGGGCACCACGAGTATTCTGTCTTTCGTTTCTTCGTCTGCTTCTCCGAGATTCTGTTCGGTGCCCAGTCTGCGGGTACTGTGTTCTCATTCGCTCCAGACATGGGCAAGGCGAAGAATGCGGCGGCTGAATTCCGCAGACTGTTTGACAGGAAGCCGCAGATCGACACCTGGTCGGAGGAAGGCGAAAAGCTTCAGTCTGTGGAGGGATTTATCGAATTCCGTGACGTTCATTTCAGATACCCTACTCGCGCCGAACAGCCGGTCCTGCGTGGACTGAATCTGACCGTTAAGCCCGGACAATACGTTGCCCTTGTTGGCCCAAGTGGTTGTGGTAAAAGTACCACCATTGCGCTTCTTGAACGGTTCTATGATGCCATCGCTGGAAAGGTCCTAATTGATGGCAAAGACATCACTCAGCTGAACGTCAATTCTTACCGCAGTTTCCTATCGCTTGTTAGCCAGGAACCCACCTTGTATCAAGGCACCATCAGGGAGAATATTCTCCTAGGCGTCACTGGTGAGGAGGTACCCGAGGAGGCGCTGGTCAAGGCTTGCAAGGAAGCCAATATTTATGATTTCATCATGTCTCTCCCGTAAGTTCTCGTCCTGAAAACCATTCTCAAAGTTCTTTAACTAACACTGCGTCTCACAGAGATGGATTCAATACGGTAGTCGGCAGCAAAGGAGGCATGTTGTCTGGAGGTCAAAAGCAACGTGTGGCTATCGCACGGGCCCTGATCCGGGATCCCCGAGTTCTGCTTCTCGACGAAGCCACCTCTGCCCTTGACTCGGAATCCGAGAAGGTTGTGCAAGCAGCACTCGATGCTGCTGCTCGGGGCCGAACCACCATTGCAGTCGCACACCGTCTCAGTACCATCCAGAAAGCCGACATCATCTACGTATTTGACCAAGGCAAGATCGTGGAGAGCGGTACACACCAGGAGCTGATCCGCGCCAAAGGTCGCTACTTCGAGCTGGTCAACTTGCAGAGCCTCGACAAGGGCCATTAATTCAATTGCGCTATATATCCTGTACAGCTGGTTTAATATCCTGTCTCTTTTCACCACTTGTTTCTAGATCTTCACCACTTCTTATTTTTTACGCTCTTATTTCTCATGTGACATGAATTCTGAGGCACATGCATGACATTGTGTGCCCCAACGGATGATGTGACTCGCATTTACCATGTTGCGGAGTTGGCTGGTCTCTCGGGGTTTCGATGGAGAACATGAGACCTGTTTTTCTTGGAGGTGAATTAGAATACAGCCTCCCCTCCTTGCCGTGCGCACAGGTCGATGACCTGTATTGTACCTCTTGTATCTCTTATTGAAGAATATCTCCTCATATAGAAACAAAAATTGAGATGGACTAAAAGAAACATCACTCAAGCTCCTGTCCCGTAAGCCCTCAGGGTGATTCTCAATCGCGATCACCCACCCCATACTCTCTTTGCACGTCAATTTGTCGCACTCCCCGCGCATCTGCGATCAGGCCCAGTAACCCCTGCCCAACGTCCTTGATTTCGTTGTATTCATGCAACAGACGGATATGTTGTTGCACCGTGGCTTTGGGGTCGTTCCTGGCCATCACGTGGACGCGATTGATAAGTATTCATACTATGTATCCTTCCTTTTCTGAGCGGACTCGGGGGATTGTCATACTTCAAGTGGGCCTTGGCTTCGGCGATCTGAGCCTCCAAGTCGGCGGTTTGGGTTTGTATATCTGCAACCGACTGGCGTAGTATAACCTGAAGCGAAATGAAACAGGGTAGAAATGGTTCTTTCTTTTTGGCTTTTGTCTTGCCGGAGGATAACGTACCAGCTTCTTTTTCTTTGACGCTTGTTGGTCGGCTGGAGCTGGAGATGCAGGCTTGTTGCCGGATTCGGCGGTGGAGCCTCGCGGAGATGGCATGATGATATGCAGTGATAATGATCCAGCAGATCAATTGTCAAACGAGTTTCAGGAATATCCTGGGGGTTGTATCAGTGGTAGTGAATAATCAAGTGAAAGAGAAGGGAGAGGTGGACTAGTCTACGTACCTGTAGTAAGTATAGAAATGCGGAGCCCTTCGTCCAATCTGCTTTGCCCGAATGCGCATTAGATGCCGCCTGTGGATGCTTACCTTACGAGTACGTCCTCCGTCCCAGGGCCTCCACCCATCCGATCGGCCAGAACTCACCCACTCTTTGTCCCCTCAGCTCTCTCTCTCTCTCTCTTTCCTCCCTCTCCCTCTCTGCACATCCCCTTCTCTCTTCTCTCCCTATCGTCCTCTCACTACTCACCTTCTTTTTTCTTTTTAAAGAGGAAGTGAAGTGGCAATCATGGCAATAACAAGTCGATCTCACCGGTCCGGGTTGCTGGTAACCTTGCTGCTGGCCATGCCAGCGTGCGCTCACGAAGGCCATGAAAATGTTCCTGACGGTGCCGCCATCTCCGAAGATCCGATTGTAGGTTTCATCTTGCCTTCGAGCTACAACCCCCCTCATCCCCCTTCTTTCTGTTCTGTCTCCAACTGATAACTTGTCCCCCCCCAGGATTCGACGCTATGGCTGCATATGATACTCATGGGATTTGCCTTTGGCATCATTTTCCCCTTGGGTATGGTTCTCGGGGTAAGTTCAAGTCTCTCCGTACTTATTTCCGACAGCCTCATTTGGATGGCTGCGGAGTCATACTCGAGTGTATGGACCTTGGGGTTTAACGTTTCTTGCTTGACAACTAGATTGTACGGTCGCGCTGGCATGTCCCTCTCCAGATTGTCGGCACGATTGTCGCAGTAGTCGCATACTTCCTGGGCCATGCTCACAAGGGTCGCCAATTCGCCAAAAACGTCCATGCGTCTTTCGCAAATACATTGATGTTGATGATGGTGGTTCAGATTGTTCTGGGCGTCTATCTCAAACTACATCTCACCAAGGGCATTCACGGGCGGATTCGTCGGGTCATGGTGGTTGCGCACGGAGTTGTCGGCAAGGCCATGCCGGTCGCAAGCTGGGTTCAGATGCTGTTTGGAGGAATCACAGCCATGGGCTTCTGCCGGGATGACCACTTAGGACAGTGTCTGGCTCACTTCATCATGGGCAGCGCTTTCATCGCCTATGGAATTCTGCTTACCATCCTGCTCCTCGTTGGTCAGTACTGGCTTCGCCGCACGGGTCGCAGCCAGGAGTTCTTCGATTCGCTGATCATCGCCGCCTGGGGATGTGTCAACACCTTCACCGAGCATCGGTGGGGAGGTCCCTGGGTACACAACGATCTACAACATACCACGATGGGAATTGTTTGGTGGTGTGCCGGGCTGCTGGGTATTTGGCTGAGCCGGAAACGCAATGGCCGCCCCAAGCGCAATCTCATTCCAGCCCTGGTTATTCTACTCACCGGTTATGCCATGTCCGCTCACCCCCAGCATCTGATGATCAGTACTATGATCCACTCCATCTTCGGTTACACCTTGATGGCTGCCGGCTTTACCAGGATCATTGAGATCTCCTTTGTGCTCAGAGACAAGGGCACCGTCAGCCCGGACGGTTCCGACCCGAATAGCTTTCAGTATCTCACGCCTTTCGTAAGTCGCCTGGACACAGGAGCTGGATGTTGCCTTAGGGGCCTGGTCACTCTCCATTTTTGAGCTACTGTACTGACTCGATTCTAGTTGTTGTACGCTTCTGGGTTCCTCTTCATGGGCGCCACCGAAGAACAAATGCAACTGCTCAGCGACGCTGGAATCACACATGTTTCATACGTCCTGATTCTGTACAGCATTGCTTTCATCCTCTTCCTCTGTATGTCGTACTTGAATGTCTCACTGATCTGCCCAGAGACCTCGCTCTAACATCCTTCCTCTCAGTCGTCAACGTCCTCTTGCACATCTACGCTGTTCACGCATGGCCTGAATCCACCAAGCCACTGTCCCGCTCCCGCTCCTCCAGCTTTGCAGACGACGCCGGCGAAAGTTCGCCCGGCTACAAGCCTAACCAGCCCAACGGCCGCTTTCTGAACGGCCACGCTCGCTCGGCATCCGAGAACCAGCACGTCCATGACGCGGAGGAGTTCGAGCTGCAGGGGCTCATCTCAGATGAGGAAGACAACGGGGAGCACAGTAGGAACACAATGGGACCTCGGAAAGTGGACGACGAGGAAAGCTCCGCTCTCGTTGGTAAGGAGACGTCAACGCATTGATTCGAAGGTGTTTAAATCTATATAACTTTCTTTTGGGTGTCTTCCATTCCATTCCAGCAAGCCTGAACTGTTCATATTTCTTGTCCGACTATTAAATTGCATTTGACTCTACTTGGAAAACCATTGAATCCTTGGAATCCCGGTCTCAGATGACTTGGCCCGCCCGGTCTTTTGAGGGATGGATCCGAGGTTACATTGCACCGCAACCAACAGGCGAAGATGATCGGCTAAGGGACATGACATATGAGCTTCGTGATTCTGCCAAAGTCTGGAGTATTCAGGCGCGCAAGACATTGAGAGAGACGCAAGCCACCTCGAACGGCCACACAGTCGACGGCCATAGTAGTGCTTTAAAGAGTGGGTCGATTGTAGTATTGTCAAATCTATCATACACGGCCTTACCTCCGGTGGTAAAAGGCTAGGTGTGGAGCATTACAGCGCAAGCGTAGATATATGGCAAAGATCCGTACTGCCCCATAGTAGCGACTAAGAACTCTCTAAGTGAACCCTTTTCATTTTCGGCACCAAAACTCCAGAAGAGTTGATTGCCTTTCCATATCTCGGCGCCTCTTCATTTCTTTTATCCTCCTCTGCAGGCTGCTTGTGGGGCTCATCAAGGTGCCAGGGCGGGTGCCCCGTCCAAGGGGATTGGGTTCGGGACTGGAATCACAGCGGGGAGCATATTGTCGACCTCGGGCGGGAAGATAGGGTGCAGAGGGTAGATGGGAGCGGTCAAACGTTCACCGTCGAACAGCAGCATGTTCTGGAGGGGTTGTTCGCGTGCACTGAGCACATTGATCACATCCTGTGCCAGACTGCCCCCGACGAAGGCCGCCACGGGACTCAACTCGTTGTTCAGGTTCTGCAAGAAGGTGCGCAGGAACTCCGCGTCGAGGGTTGCGATGTCCAGTTTCAGTTCCTGGTGGCCGTCTCGCGCGAGCTTGGTGAAGACCTCGAGGTCCTGGTGGGAGAATGTCGGCAGCGCGCCGGCGGAGAGTTTCTGGTACTCCCACAGCGCGCGGAGACAGGTGAGGAGCGGGGTGACTTGCTTGCGTTTGCGGGGCAGACGCGTGAATTCCTCGGGAAGCGGGGAGGTGTTGGCCAAGATCAGAGGGGAGTACACCTCGCGCTTGGTCACCATCTCAATGACCTTCTCGTTCTCCTTCTTGGTGGTGATGTTGAGGATACTCCGCGTCGGGGTCTCCTGGGTGACCGAGGCCACGTTGGATTTGGACCTCTCGATCACAAAGTCGTGGGAAATCAGATCGGCGAAGACGAAGCCGTAGAAACCGTGCAGCCCGGCGGCGTAGAAGGGCCGGTTGGCTATCCGACACGCGGCATTGATGGTCGTGTAAGTGTGGAAGTCAAGTTCTGTGGCGATCGTGATGTCGAACTGTGCAAAGTACTCCGGTTGTTTGAGGTGAACATCTTCGGTGTCGATGTGGAGCTGAACCCGAGGGTTCATGGCACGAATGGCCGGCGCTGCAGCTTGTGCTCGCTATAGGACTTCGCTTCAGCATTTAAATGAATGGGAGTTTGATGGAGGAAAGGGTTTCCCCGCTTACATTCTGGCATCTACAATCCTCGTTCACGAAGAATTGCGCGCCGAGATCCTCCTCCGTCACACTCTCATGGTCGATGATGGTAAGAGAACCAATCCCCGCAAGCACCAGGTTTTTGGCGACCTCGTTCGCCAGAGCTTTGAAAGTGATAAGTAGGATATTCGCGGATCGCAGCCTATGAGAAGACCGAGGGTCAGGAGACGCTGAGCAAGCCACGGAGGGGACTACCGAGGGAGCTCACTTTTCTTGAGCCTTTACTCCCCAGAGGCGGATTTGGCGGTCATATAGCGCAATTTCATCTTTTCCACACCACGATTACTATTCGAGAGCTTCTCCTCGATGTTTGGGAGTAATGAACTTAGCATACCTGCGCTCATCGCCTGGGCTGGCGCCTGGGCTGGCTGCGACTCCATGGTTTGAATGACGTATAATGCGGGAAAAGAGGCAATCTCCAGCTCACGCGCCTTCAAGAAGATGGGATATTATTCCGCAGCAGTCAAGGGATGGTAGCCGACTTTTGATGGGAGGCGGGCAAAGGTATGCGCGCAGGTCGGGGGTAAAAGGTGGTGTGGGGGGGGGAGGCAAGTATTAGAAGCAAGGTTTAGACAATCTGACTGTTCTACTAGAAGAAAGAAGAAGTTAATAAGAAGTGAATGCACAAGTGAGTGCACAAGTGAAAGTGAAGGTGTAACTTGTAAGTTAACTTGTACTTGCAACTATTCTAATCTTCTTTCTATCTATCGTTCATCACGTGCGAGTCCACCCGATAGTCCATCGATAAGTTAGTCCGACTGCTTATCGCTTGAAGTAAAGGAAGGAATGCCGCGGGCGGGCGTCATTCCAATCCATCACTCCATCCTCTTTCTCCACCTCCACCCACTCCTCCCTCTCCCTCTCTATCCATCCGTCATCTTTTCTTCTTCCTCGCTCACATACCCTCTCGGTTTGGTTTCATCTTTCCTACTCACACATACATTCTCTCTCTCTCTCTCTCCCTCTCTTTTTCATCCCATCTCCCCTTCATTGATCCATCTTACCGGTTTATCTCTGCATTGTCCTTGTGTGCCACCCTTATCCTTTGTGTGGTTAATCGGGTTCCGTATAGTTGCCCGCTGTACGCCCTCGCCCCATCACCACAGTGGATGGTTTAATTCTTAACATAACATCAAGTTATGGTACGTAGCTAATAGTCGTTTGCGGAGAATGCAATTCTACCGCGTATCATCTGCAATACTGACTTTCTGACGCACGGCAAATCAAGTCCGGGAACTACGATTACCCTCCCGCCTCTCGCCGTCCTTCTCGAGGGTCTCGTACCAACAACGACCGACAGCAACGCCCTGTTTTGAATCGTCTACAGCATCTACAGGAACTGCTCAATTCCGAGCGTAACCGTAACAACTCGGCTCGTGCGCTTGAAACTCTGAACCAGGAGTTGGAGGAGTACCGGGGCAGGTCCTCATTTATCGCCGAAGAGGCCAGGGCAGCTTTGGACCGGCAGTTTCAACAAGTCGGAGCCGAACGCCAGATCTGGAACCAACAACAAGCCACGGACAACGGCAGCACGGCAGGTTCTGTGCGTCCTGGTGGTCAGAGACCGCACGCGCTGAATGTGACAGTTGTGAACTCGGAAGCAAGTGCTTCTGACCCGATCCGATCTGGCAACAGGACTCCGAGGTTCCGTCCTCTCAGAGCCGAGGATCGGATTGGCCGCGTGAGAAGAAGCAGAGGCGCAAATCAAACGTCTCTCCTGGATGAGCCTGTACCCCGCCTCGAGTCACCAACAGTCATGCCTCAGCAATTGGAGAGTGACTCCCCAATGGATTACTGGAGGACAAAGCGTCGCAAGTTGGAGACGGATGATCATCGAGAAGGCTTGCAGAACTTTCGTTACGGTCAATATGGTCAAGTGGTCCCGGGAGCACTCAGAATGGAGTTAGCCAGCTGTGACGGAGGCACATACGAACCGGACGGAGAAAGCTCCTGGCCCGAGAACATCCTTCGCAATGACTCCACTGTGTACTGCACAAAATCAGACCGATGCAACTTGATCTTGAAACACCAAGCTGGAATCCCTTTTTGTTTGCAGAAGATCGTCATCAAAGCGCCGAGGATTGGTTATGATGCTCCGTAAGTGATAGCGGCTTCACAATATCAAGCTCGCTGCTGACTCTATTCATAGGATTCAAGAAGGCATGGTTTTTGTCTCAATGACATCTGACGACCTTTTAGCTCGTACAGCCGCATCTCATGTTCAACGTGAGGCGACCAGACGCACTGGGCGAAATTGGCACAATGGAATGCAGCCATCTCAGGAATACCTGAATGCGCACCGGCCTCGCCTGCCGAATATTCAAGGGAACATGGTCGAGCCCAATATCAACACCGAAGCTTTTGACACTGACAACAATAACCCTTCGAGGCCCGTCGAGGGAGGCGAGCCTGATCCCATACCGGAGTTTCGCACCATGACCTATTACGATGAACAATCGGATGCACGTTCGGATGCCCACGGACGGAATGACGATGATGACCAGACGCCATACCTCACTGAGATAGAGCGTCTTGAGGCTGATCGGTTCGACGACGCCGCCATCTGTTCGGACACTAGTGACAGTCTGAGCGAAGCTGAACTCGCTGAAATGGGTACATTTCCTCGGCGCCGCCGGGCTTTATCGAGGCAGATCCGAGCCATGCGACGTCGCTACGAAGCAGCACACCCAAGGCACCGTCCACGTTCGCCCGATACACCTCCCCCCCAACGCCACGAAGACTCGCAGCCCCTGGACTCTTCGCTTATGAAACCTCATGCACGGTTTCACATTGCCAGACACAAGAGCATGGTCAGCATTAAGTTTGATCCCCCACCGTAAGTTTTATGCCTTGCCGCTCGAGAGGATCCCACGTGTCTAACTTATTGCCACCATACAGCTCAGGAAGATACATCCTTGTCAAACTGTGGAATCCCCATAGCGGAAAGAACATCGACATTCAAAGCATCGTTGCTTACGGCTATGGTGGCCCGAGGTTCTTTCCAGCTTCAGGTTTCAGATAAACCCATACTACCTCTTGCGTGCAACCCCCACCACCACACGGATATATGTGTTCGCTTCATGCTTGCTGGTTGTGCGAATGTGCAACGCAAGCCACCTTTGGGCGCTTTCGGGGACTGGTCTTTCATCTCATCATACACAGCCAGGACTCGTTGGTCCCTCTCTGACTTCCTTCATACCCATACCCATACCCATCCCTCCTGATCGTAAACCAATACCCAACTTAGATAGAAATGTTTCTCATGCACTCATATGTTTCACGCCTCCTCTGAGGTGGTGAGATAATGTCCAGAGTCACGATGTTTAGAGTATTCTGGTTACCCGTCCGTGCCTGAAATCGGCGTTGTATTAATGCGGGACAATGAATGAAACAGAATGGTCTTCCTTTTTCACTTCAAGGGAAAAAAATGTCTGCTCCGTGACGTAGCCTTGCTATCAATATGTGTTCTCCACCATCGGGCTCGGGCTCCGGCTCCAGTATACTCACGAAGCCGAGGGCTTGTTAATCGAGAAGGGCCCGGGTGGACATTACCTAGTAACTCACCTCCCCATGTGCACATTGACTACTAGATTCAAACAAGCAAAGCGGGATGGGAATGCCTGGATGAAGCCGCCACTCGTAAGGTATAAAGAAGTGTCGAATTACGGGAGCGCAATCGAGAGAGCAATGCAGACTGTTTCTTTTTGACAAAGTTCGTAAGTATTAAAGTATGGTATGTGTAGTAAGGCAACAACTGCAGACGGTCCAGTGAACAACAAGTCACACCTCCGCTCACAGGCTAAACATCAAGCGTACACAAACAGATAGATTGGTAGTCCCCAATGCGTAAAACTCGGACAAAAATGAGCAAATGAGCCATCTAGCGCCAGTGAAGCAACACATCGGCCCTTCCAACAACCTCAACATGAAACAAAGCCAACGGCGAGTTCTGTGGGAGATCACATTATCTCTCGTCAGCAAATCTGAAAGTAGTGTGCGTATGTATGTACAGAAAGAGATGGTTGAGTCGTAGCTCGGTCGTCCGCATTATCGAGATCGGGAGAGAAAAGTCAGGGATGAAAAGAGGATAGTCAGAAGAGGGAGCCAAGCGGGATCAACCACACTTTGAGGAAGAAGTATGTGTGTAGAGAGAGGTAAAATCAAGCTGATACCATGGGCAACAGTGTGATTGGTGCTAGAACGACGTATCGAGGCCGACGTTATCTCGAATCGATTCTCTCGTTTCTCGTCTCTCATGCAAAAGATCGTCGAACGCCGAAGGTGAAATCTCTTCAGGCGAGAGACATCAAACAGATAATCAAACCAAAATGGTACTCCTGAAATAGAAAAAGAGAATCCAACTCCACCCTTAGAACAAAGAAAACTCGTATTTTGGATCCAAGAACGAAAATTCGAAGGAATATGTATAGGTAAATCATATGACGACGACGTCTCCCTCAGCATCCGCTGGGTCGGAAGCCATCATATCACCATATTTACCCACGGTCATTAACATCGAGTCGTCGTCAAGATCAATGGCGCTATCGTCGTTATTCGGAGCATGGAAGCCAGCAATGCTCTCGGGAATATTGGTAGGTTTCTCGTTTTCGGTATCATTAGGGTTTGATTCTGCATCCACTTGGGGCCGCAAGGAATCCTGAGTTTGACTCATGCTCTCTGCTGACGTGGAGCTGGGAGTCGGTCGTGCTCTTGCCTCGCCTCCAAGCTGAGAATCATTTGTCATCATTGAGTTACTTCTCTCGTGACCCGGTAAGTTTGAGGGCTTCATGAGAAATCTACTCTGCCCTTGCTGGTTCGAAGCCATACCGGCGTGTTGCAGAGTACTTGGCTTGTAACGCATAAACCCTCCCTTTTCAGCTTGCCATAACATCATTTCATGAAAGAAGACCTTGGTCATCCACCAAGCGCTGAAACTTTGAGCGCCTCCCAGCGTAAGTCGCCGCAGGATGCAATCCCACAGAGCATCGACTTTCTCAATTATGCACTGAGTGCGGTGATGCGGAAAAGCTCCCGGAAGGTTTAGAATGAAAGAGATCCACTTGTCCGGGAAGTTGTAGTCATCGCCGGCCGCCTCTTCGACGGGGAATTTGTGTACTTTGTTGTCTTCTTCGGTATCAGGCTTGGCAAAAAAGGGGAGAGTGGTAGATGGGTTGATGTCTGTAACTGGGGTGAGAAGAGATCGAATGTCATGCTTCAATATCTGTTCAGTTGCACGCTCCGCGCAGCTGGGAATATTGGCTTTCATGATCATTTCTTTAGGGTCAACCAAGGTCTTGAAATCGAACCACATCTGATTTCGGTTGTCGGGATGGCACAACCATGCGGCGGCCGCGTTGGCAGACTGGTTGACATCAAGCATATGCTTCAGTAGATTACAGAAGATATGCGCTGGGAGCAGTCTGGCTAGAGAAACATGTGTAGGCTGAGTTTTGAACGTGTCCGCAATGTGGGCTGTCAGCCGTTGCGAGATGGAGCAGAAAGCATCCAAAACCAATTTCGGCACCACCTGAGTGGTGAGCGGTGCGACGAATGCAATCATTTTCTGATACATGATCCAATCGCATTCTTTGATCCATGGTGCAAGGTTAGGATGCGTTAAGAGCTTCTGCACAGGAACAGTCAGTGTGCCGTGGAAGGCCGAGAAATATCGTAACATGTTCTTTTCCTTGCAGTATCGGAAACTGTCAATGACAGAAATACAATGTGAGCGATAAAGAGCTGCAAGCGCAGCAGCGATTTTGGGGTCCGTGTTTGCTGGGAGGTACTGCTGTATATCAGGAAGATGAAGATCTTCATTATCGATGGAAGCCGTGTCGCATGAAGGTAGGTCGAGCATCTGATGAATGATTTTACCGGCTTGGCTTGCCATATTATCTAGGGTGGTGGAGGAATCACCATAAGAGTAAGATGGGACTGGGCAACCACACCCTGGATTCGAGGTATTGGTCGAGAATCTGGGGGTAAATGATGTTGTGGGGGAAGGGAATTCGGCGGTATCGGCAGGTGGTTGAGGTGCGACGCTGATGCTACAGGCTTCATCAATACTTTGCGTCAGTCAAATGGCAAGGAACATTCACCATACCTTTTCTGCATGATATCTTCAACCTTGCTATCCGTAACACCAGTGGAACCATTTCCACTCATCGGTAATTGAGGGTTTAGTGGTGGCGGCTTCTGCTGTTTCTCCTCAATCACGGTCAAATCCACGTAGTGGTACTTTGATTCGCCACGAACGCCCAACCGTCTCGTCTGGACGTTGGGAAAGATGATTCGAACCAATTTCCCGAATGACGCGGGGTTCAACACCGAGACACGTTCTGTCCCACATTTCTCGGCATAACAGCAATAGACGCGATCACGTCTGACCGAGCCGCTACTTTTCCTGCAGTTCTCCTTCAACCTAGAGCCAGGTGAGCATGGCTGACAGAGCCCAAGAACAAACCGCTGCTTACCAGATCATAGCAAAGACCTGCTTCACCTTTTCAGCCTTGCCGCCAGCACCTTCATGCTTCAAGACCTCGGCTGCCATCTGCTTCAGAGTGAACCCTTCATATTGACGTAATAATTTCCGGAGTTCGTTATCGTTGGCGAGGGATGAGCTAGACCCTTTCTTCTTCTTTGCGCCTGCCTCAGAATTCTCGTTGTCCTCCAGAACGTGCTCCGGCGCATGGTTTTCAATCCCACTATCATACATAGCCGCAAACTGTGGCATCGGCATGCCCGGGAGGCCGTGACTCGGTATGCCGGCCGACAATGTGTGATGGGATAGATGGTGACCGTGCATTGCATGGCCCGGGTACTCCTCAGCCCGCGGCATGACGGGATGATGGGCCTCTTGCAGCGTCGGATCGAGAGATGCGCCGTTTACCTGGTGCGACAGCTGCTGTCCGAATCGCATGATGATTTCCTCCGGATTACTAGCAAAGACACTATGACCTGTGGGCTGCGTGGGCAAGAACTGGGGGAACCCGTCGGTGATCTGTTGATCCTGGGTCTGTTGAGTCGTGGTGGAATGAATGCTAGCCGTTGAGCCTCGCGACCGTGGGCGACGGCTGTTCCTTGATACTACAGTTTCCGATCGTGATCGCATGAGATCAGCGGTACCGGGGCGGCTGAGTGGTGCTACTAATTGGGTCGTTTGAGAAGCAACACTCGACGCCTGCGAGGCCGCTCGGCCCACTGTGCCTGCACGATTAGCCGGTCAAACTTATAAACTTATGAAGCAGCAGCAGCAGCAGGGCAGGAGGCAACCGAAAACCCAAAGGGACAGACGGTACGCAACGGTCAAAGCACGATGAACCACCGAGACAGGTCGCATGCAGGAAGAAAAGCAGTATCTCTTACCCATATCAGGAGGCATATCCTTCTTTATTCTCCTTTATTGACTGGGAGGGAAAGATATTCGGGTACTGCTACACACAGCACACGTTTCGTTGCTGGGTGAGAGACGGGTTTGATTTGGTGTGGTAACCACGGGCAATAGCGTCTGTTTTGATCCTTCACGGAACCACCCTCGAACCGCACGAATCCCCACCGCAGCAGACGCAGAACAGGCACGAACGCCAGAAGAAAGAGGCAGCGGGTTGTATAGCTTGTCGTCGTCAAGGCATTCAGAGGTTTGTCGTTGAGCTGCAGCAGACTGGCTATGGAAGGCTCATAGCGGCCGCGTTTGCAGGGTCGAAGTGGGCGAAGGTCGAAGGAGGAATAAACAGAGAAATCCGTCTCTCAAGCAACGAGGCGGCGGTTGTTTGGGTCCCCGTCACGTGCTCCCATGCGGCTTAGCTAAGATGCATTCTTCGCAGCCAAACAAAAACATCCCTGCAGAATGCAATCAATCTTGGCTAGTCCTTGCGTCCGTTAAGATTAAAGGAGCTATTCAGAGCACTCTGGACTGACCATATATGTATGTATTTTGACCAGTTCTTTTTCTTCTGCACTATACAGAGTAGTTGCACTTAAGTAGTATGTTGCACATACATGAAGATACTAGGTAGTATTGTTGTTGTAGAAGATGCAACTCTTCCGCCGACCCATGGTTCGTCAGTCCCCATGACTAAGCCCATTAAGTTCTCGGCCCAACTCGATCTGCCACCACCAAAGCTCGCTTATGACCTCATTTCATTCAATGCCATGTTTGGAAATCATCAATAGTTGATACTCAATCAACCCTATGA